GAGCTTGCTGGCTTTTGATGTAGATAGTTTGTATTTAGATACTACTTGTTCAATAAAATTGGAACATTTTAAGATTGTTGCATATTTCATTATCATTGTGTTGGGGCGATGGGGACAGGTGGGGCTTGAAAATTCCCCCTTGTCCAAAGTGGGGAATGACAGAAAAAGTTTGAGAACCACTGCCAGCAGATGGCACTCTAACATTCAATTAACTGTTTTATATTACAGATCTGGGTAAATATTTCATAGTTCTTAGTGGAAGCTTTTAGTCTTAAGTATCTAGATTTTAAGAGATTTAGTCTTTTTAAAGAATTAAATGTGAAGCAAGTTAACAAAACACTAAGAGCTAAAAATTTCTCTTCACCATTTCTGCAACTCGTTTAATGGCCACTAGGGGGAGGTAATGGGACTGAGAAAATGCTATCATACGTGTTAAAGCAAAAAACAAACACTGAAAAAAGATTGCTTTTAGAAAACATTTCTGTATTCTTTAAAGCAGGATTCTGCTCTCCTCTCTGCAGAGCACATCTTTTGCAGATTCTCCTCACCAGTCTGCTATCTACTAACCCTAACATCATAGAATTCATACCTTGGGTCCCATCAGATAGCTGCTGTGAAGAGACAGAGTATTCCTGCAAGTTACTCTGTTAACCAATTCTGTAGCAGGATTTCCAGGAGTTATCCTAAGTCTGTTGCATATCTATGGAAGCCAGTTTCCGCCACTCGGTGAAAAAATATATATATATATATATCTCAATATAATGCGATAGTAACTTAATATAAGCAGATACTATCGCATTATAATGAGATAGTAACTCCATATAATGAGATAGGAACTTAATACAAGGAGATAGTAACTCCATATACTGAGATAGTATCTCTAGTATCTCTAGTATAATGTGATAGTATCTCTTATTTAATTTTTTTTAAAGTTAAATAAATTGAACTTTTCCCATTTAAAAATCAGGAGATGAGCATGTTTAGATTATAATAGGCCCATATCAGTATTTCTGGTATTATTCCTTAAAAATACTAGAAAACTTGCTCTAATATATACCTGAAAGCATGAAGAGGGAGAAGAAGAGAACACCTGGAGTGTTTATCAGTTTAAAAAAACATTTAACATTGTTAAATCGGATATGATAAGATCTTTTCCAGGAAAAGCTGCTATTATTGGATCATCCATCCAAATACTTAAGATGACCTTGTCCTCCTGAAATTCCTTTGTATTAACAGTTATCAGCAGGATTCTGTACTAAACCATTTCAACCACACAAGTGAACAACATAACAATCCAACTTCTACCTGACTGCTTCGGTTCATACAGTGATTTCTTTATAGTCGTGACCAGCTCTTTGCTCTTGGCCAGGTTAGTAGTTGGATTCTTAGTGATTGTATGAGGTGGACAGGTGTCTTTATGCAGCTAACGACCTCAAACAGGTGCATCTAATTTAGGGTAATAAATGGAGTGGAGGTGGACATTTTGAAGGCAGAATAACAGGTATTTGAGGGTTAGGATTCTAGCTGATAGACAGGTGTTCAAATACCTATTTGCAGCTGGATCATACAAATAAATAGTTTTAAAAAATGTTTTAGATTATGTCTCTTACAGTGGACATTCACCTACGATGACAACTTCAGACCCCTCCATGATTTCTAAGTGGGAGAACTAGCAAAATTGCAGGGTGTACAAATACTTATTTCCCTCACTGTATGTGTACTGCTGCATCATGGGATTCCCCAACCACAGAAGTTCTACACTGCCAATGTGGCTGCCTCTCATCCAATGGGTAAGGGCTTTTTACAAGGTGCTGCTGGGCCCTCCCAGTGAAGTATGTGCTCAGGATTATTTGTGATATTGATATTAGTATGTAACCACGGTTCTATGAATCCTGAATGACTACCAGAGTTTCTCTGTCACTCAGGATCTTTGCTTCTGTGAGAAGATTTTACAGGAACAGAGCCAAGGATGACACCAGGCTACGTAGCTTCTGAGTGGTCATCCGGTGTCACAGATGTGACTTTGTTGGTATATTGGTGCTTTCAGCACTGCCCTCTGGTGGTAATCTGGGATTCTTAGAACCGTAGTTACATTCATAATGCCAATATGAAAAAAAAGGTAACAATGAAATAAATAGGAGTGAGCTTAGTTAGCAAAAAAAAAGGAAAAGGTTAAAGAGATGGATACGGCAGAGAAGAAAAAATAAATTTCCCCAAAGAATAAAATCCTTTTCTTTAAACACCCCACCTCGCCCCCACCAGAACCACAAATGCATGAACATAAAATATTTAAGATTCATTATATTTCATTGACAAGAATTTCATTTTTTACTGTTTCTCTATACATTTGTAGGTAAAGTGTTAATTCTGTTCCACACTGAGAGCCCGTCAGCCGGCATCTTTTGATCCGGTAGTTCAAAGGCCGAAGAAGTAGTGTCAAAAAAAGAAATCGATTACAACTGATTTTGAAAAACACTTTATTTCTAAATGAGAATGAATAAAATCTTTTTTTCACGTCATTGTCCAAGTTGAACGAGTATAATAGGTTCCTTCAGATTCCAGCAGAACTTTCCCAGTCTGTCTGTTAAACCCCAATTCATTTGACTAGAGGGACAGAAAGAACTACACAGCCTGCCTTATAGTATCTGATTATTCTTACATTTACATGCAGGACATCTATAGATGTGATCCCTTTGCTGAAGT